TATGTTTCTTTAGAATACTTGACTCTTCTTGTAGTATGAATGTATTTGTGTGTTTTACCAGGACAGTTAAAGACTTACAGACGTGTTATAACAGGGAACATTATTTATGCACTTAAGAGAGAAGCATCAGTGTTTTATTATAAATGATTTGTGTTGTGTTTCAACAGGTTCTACAATCAGGTGTAGTGTTTGTTCAGACCTCACTGATCCAACATGTTCTAAAATAAATGCACCCGCCTGTCCAGACGCAAACATGTGCTTTGTATCAACAACACAAAGTAAAATTTCATCCTAAAATTCATTCATATTTTCTTTCTATGAAATGGGTATTTTACAAACTTTTATTCCTTTACAGTTACTCAGGGTGGAACTACTACTACCAGAATAATAAAGAAATGTGCAGACTCCTCGCTGTGTCCAGTTGCAGACACACAGACATACTCCTTAAACACTGGATTTGGTCAAGTGTTTGCACAAGCCACCTGTTGTAACAAAACAAACTGCAACAAAAATACCCCACCACGTGAGTACACTTCATTTGTTTAAAAAAGACAACAATGGTAAGAGGATAAGAGTCAAATCAACAAACAGTACATTTGTGGAATCAAAGAAAACAAAGAGTTAAAGTTAAAGATGTACTGATGTAGTGGTGTGTGTGGCAGTGCCATCGCCCCCTGGACCTGATTCCCTGGGATGCCCAACCTGTGATCCTCTGACAGGCAGATGTGATGCTTCTGTACGATGTAATGTACTGGAGACCAGCTGCTTCATAACAACAGGTTTGTCTTAAATCAGTGGAATACACTTGTTATTTACAGACACATTCTATATTGATTTGCTTCTTGTGAGCTCATAAATAACATGTTTAAAATAATGAAAGTGGAAATTCAGCCTGAAGGATTTCAAAACAAGATAAACATCTCAGCTAAAACTTATGATGAGCTTTTCTTACTACAGCTGTTTTGATTTTTCAGCAACAACACCTTCATCGACCATCGTCCAGGGCTGTGCTTCACCAAACACGTGCTCCAACTCTGTTCTGAACACACTTCTACCTGAACTGTCCCCGATCGAAACTGTGACTGGACCAAGCTCCTGCTGTACAAGTGATGTTTAACTTCTTGTTTGTAACAGACTAATCACTGCCCTGACAAATCTGTAAATAAACTGTCAACTCCATTTGTAAGAAACAAATCAATACATTTTATAAAAGTGTATATAAATAAAATCTGGACAAATGGATTCCTGTCATTTGTATTTGATGATTACATTGTACAGAGAGCACAGAGTTGGATGCTGAGGTTGCATGAAGTGAATGGATTTGAAATAGAGGACACAGATGAAAACTCCATCATGAAGAGTGCTTTGTTTTGCAGCAGCAGAGTCCAGGGCAGCTGAGCAGGACTTTTCTGTGAGCACATCTCTCCCAGACCTGCTTTACATGTGCACAGGCCACACACAGAACTGTCCCATCCTTCTGCAGTGACACCAGGGCTTTAGGTCAGCTTCAGAGGGAACCTGATCATGATCAACCTGAAATGACAAAAGATGACACGCATAAAGTATTTGTCATTTGATCAAATCGGTGAACACGGCAGGAGAGAGAACAGATCAGTTGGTCAGCGATCTATAGGCTCATTTCTCCATACAACTTATAACCCTTTTGAGCCCCCAACTTTCCCCAACAACTAAACTAAACAAGCACTAGAAGAAGCCATCGCTAAATTGAACAAAATAATTGCGTCAGTTTTGCGCATAGAACCTTCACTCATTTCTGACGTCCATCATGGTGCAACCACGTGATCAGGTGATGTCGGTGCAAAGGGTCAATAACAGACAAAATGGTCCCACAAGTCTCCCACAATCTCCCATATGATTGTGTATTTGGTTATGTACTCTCTGCAGAGACAGTAGGGTGGTCTGCTTTAGTTTGTTCACTAAAACATTTACATCTATACAATACATCAACAGTATAAACAGCCAGAATGTTTAAATGTTTGAAGAAGTAATGTTGACTCGCCTGCTGCTCAGAAAGAAGAGAGAAAGTGTCGTAGTTCCAGTTTTTTGCTGCTGTGTATGAGAACACCGACTGTCCCATCACAGGACGTGTAAAGGGAACGGTCAGATCAGAATTTACAGATGAGTAAGATGTTAACTGGAAGAAGCCTCTTTAAGGAGGGGGAGCAGCATTGGGGGGAATCCTGTAGAGCAGCTCCAAATCTAAATACAGGCTTAAATATTTCACTTGTTGTACATTATTAATAATTTGTCTTTGAACACTAAGTTGCAGACCACAGATTTGCTTCTTGTTTAAGTACACTGGCACAGGTTTTATTTTAGTATTTAGAGTGAGGTATGAAGCCTGTAGCCATTTGGCTAAACTATCAAGTGCTATTGAAAGCTTGTCAGCCTCCTCTGTGGCGCTTCTTCCATGGGAATAAATAACCGTATCGTCAGCATACATTTATATTTCCACATCTGCACACACCGCGGGTACTGGTATATAGATATATCATTGATGTAAAGGCAGAACAACAATGTCAACATGATAGAGCCCTGTGGAATTTCTATTTAAGAGGCTTTAAGTACAAGAGTTTATCGTTAATATGACTTTCCAGACAAATTCAATTTTGTAAGTTTTGACAACAATACTGCATGATTCACAGTATCAAATGCTTTAAAGTCCAAGAATACTGCAGCAACCACTCACCATTTTTCCAACTCTGTTTTGATCTTTTTAACAAAATCACAACAAGCTGTCTCTGTTGAATAGTTACCCCGAAACCCAAATTGCATCGGGTGGAGTAGATTTTCAATATTCAGATGTGCCACAAGTTTTTTCTGCTACTGGTTTTTTCAATGACTTTAAAGGCAGCAGGCAAAACACTTTGGCCTGTAGTTACTGACCTCTTTTTGCCCCTACATTTGTGGATTGGGATCACTATAGCTGTTTTAAAAGCAGCAGGGACTCTACTGTCTTTAAACGATTGGTTAATAATGAAGGTGAGGGTAGAGTACGATTTGTAATAGTAGCAGCAGTGGTTAAAGTAGTGGTTGTAGTACAGTCCCTGACAAAAGTCTTGTCGCTTATCCATTTTGTAGAAACAAAAGCTTATAACCTGACTTTAAATTAATCGATTGGTTTTAGAAATGTCTCATATGAAAGCTAAAACCCTCCCAAATTATGCTCAATAAACTAAAATAAATTTGCTTCACTGAAGAAAGATTGATCATTTAATGAACACAGAAGAGATTTTGGCAAGACAAAAGTTTTGTCGCCTACAGAAAATTGAACAAATAATTTACTTCAAATACAAAAATATGTTGCATAACGTCAGTGAATGAAGTAGTGGTGCTGTGAGATCCATATTTAATATCTTGTATGACTCCATGAGCTTGAAGGACGCATCCATGCGGTTTGACAATGATTCATACAATTTGTTGATGAAGTCATCAGGAATAGCAAAGAAAGCGTCTTACATGCCTCCCAGAGTTCATCAAGATTCTTTGGTTTTGCCTTCCATGCTTCCTCTTTCATTCTACCCCAGACCTGCTCAATGATGTTCATGTCTGGTGACTGGACTGGTCAGTCCTGGAGCACCTTGATCTTCTTCGCCTTGAGAAACTTTGATGTAGAGATAGAAGTATGTGATGGAGCACCATCCTGCTGCAAAATTTGACCCCTTTTATGGTTGGGAATGTAAGAGGAGCTAATATGTCTTGATATTTTAGGCTGTTGATATTTGCCTTCCACCCTGCAAATGTCTCACACACCCCCAGACTGGATGGAACCCCAGGCCATGATTTTTCCGCCACCAAACTTAACTGTTTTCTGGGTGAATCTTGGATCCATGTGGCTCCAGTAGGTCTCCTGCAATATTTGTGGCGGCTGTGATGTTATTCAACTGAGGATTCATCTGAGAAATCCACCTTCTGCCACTTTTCCAGTGTCCGTCCTTTTAGCAGGCTGTGGGCCTTGGCAAATGCCACATGGTTTTTTAATTGCCTTTTGTTTAGTGCTGGTTTCTGTGCACTGATTCGACCATGGAGGCCATTTTGAGACAGAATTCTACAAACTGTTGTGGTTGACACAGGGACTTGAGGTGACCAGGCCTGGTGGAGTCTGCTGCAGTGGAAAAGGGGCCTTGGATTTTCGAATCAACAAACGGTCCTCCGGAGCAGTTGTCTTGCGGGGTCTGCCGGACCTGGGCTTGTCAAAAACATCTCCAGTCATTTCAGATCTTTTTCTTATTCTTTGTACTTGACGCTGAGACACATTGAAGGTGTCACCACCTCAGCAGTGGATCTGGTCTTCAGCCTCTTGATAATTAATGCTTTGGTTTCAGGGTGGATCTTAGGCATGTTGTCAGAGGTCAAGTTGCAGTTGATGTGAAGGTCTGGTGTGCTGGGCTTTCTTTTTACACAAACCCTAACTGATTGATCAGTAACTGATCACAGGTGAGGCTGTAATCTAGGATTGGGTGCATCATATGACAAGACGACAAGACTTTGTCTTGCCAAATCTGACCTTTCTGTGTTCATTAAATGATCAATCTTTTTTCAGTGAAGCAAATTATTTTTAGTATATTGAGCATAATTTGGGAGGGTTTTAGCTTTTATATGAGACATTTCTAAAACCGATCGATTAATTTAAAGTCAAGTTATAAGCTTTTGTTTCTACAAAATGGATAAGCGACAAGACTTTTGTCAGGGACTGTAGTAGTAGTAGTAGTAGTGGTTGAAGCAGTAGTATGTGTATTCTATAACAGAGGGGTACAATTTCCATAGCTATTTATCATTAGCAGTAGCTTGAGATGTTTCCAGACCCATTCTTCTAATTGCTTTATTTAGTCTTTAAACACACAGTAGTAGGCTAGTCGACTCATCATCCAAAACAGATGTTCATCAAGATGTAAGTAGTTTCCATCCATTTTCTTCAGCCTATCTTGGGCCGGGTCACAGGAGCAGCAGTCTAAACAGGGACTCTCAGCCTTCCTTCACCCTGGACACTTCCTCCAACTCCTCCAGGGGGGACACAAGGCTTTCCCAGGCCAGCCCAGAGACATAGTCCTTCCAGCATGTCATAGGTCTTCCCCTTCCTCCTCCCAGTGGGACATGCCTGGAACACCCAGGGAGGCATCCAGAAGGCATCCGGAATAGATGCCTCCTCAGTCTCCTCAGCTGACGCTGCACCGATTCACCTGTCAATCTCACGCTCCATGCTCCCCTCACTTGTGAACAAGACCCCGAGATACTTGAACTTGTTCACTTGAGACAGGGACTCTCCATCCACCCGGAGTGGGCAAGACACCTTATTCTAATCAAGAACCATGGCCTCTGATTTGGAGGAGTTGATCTTCATCCCAGCTACTTCACACCTGGTCTGATGAAGACATTAGGACAACATTATCTACAAACAGAAGAGATGAGATCCTTTGGTTCCCAAACCGGACTCCCTTCAGCCTCTGTCAGGAATTTCTAGATTGCACCTAGAAATTCTGTCCACAAATACAATGAACAGAACTAATGACAAAGCCCTGGCGGAGTCCAACATGCACTGGGAGCAGATATGCCAGCAATGCAAACACAGCTCCTGCTCTGGTCATACAGGAACTGGACAGTCCTTAGCAAAGGGCCCTGGACTCCATACTTCCGGAGCACCCATCACAGGACAAAACGAGGGACATGGTCAAATGCCTTCTCCAGATCCACAAAG